CTCTCTCTCTCTCACATACACACTCTCACACATACAGGTATGTCATGTCATACAAACATGTAAAATAGTCTGCAAGGGCACACACTAAATAAACAAGTATTACACACTTCAGGCAATCCTGTTCACTATTTATATGTACACATTTTTTGCATTTTGTTTCTTTTGTACCAAATTTCTACATTATCTAGCAACTTGCAAAAGAACACAGTTTCTTTCTTTTTTTTTTTTGATACAAAATGTCTCTAAAGACTTGTTATGTTTGGACTTTAATCAAAGGACATGTATAATCAACAAATCAAGAGCATTGTATGTTTGCCCAGCCCTTTCTTAGACAGGGTCCTGCTAAGTTGCTGAGGCTAGCCTTGAACTTGCGAACCTCCTGCACAGCCTCCTGAGCAGCTAGGATTACAGGTGTGTGCCACTGCACCAGCACAATGAGTTATTTTTAAGATTGCATCTCATTCTCTTTGCTGGCTTAATAGCTACAGCTCTGTGTCATGCTAGTGACTCCTTTACAATAGGGTTAAGTGCACATCTTTACCTTAACCAGTCCACCTTCAAATGACCCCATGCAAGAACCACATGACAGCGTATTTCCAGGACTCCTGCCTGGTCTCTGTGTTGTTATACATTGCACATCTACATGTGTAAAAAACATGTTGGCATTAATTGTGCTTTAACTACTCTATTGTCTTAAAGACAATAAACTGGGGGACTGTGAGAAGGGCCTACCTGGGTAGGCAGAGGACTGGAGGAGGATGGGGGCAGAGAAAGTATTAAAAGAAATAGGAAATGATGATCTGCCCATGGAGGAGGAACATGGTGGGTCACACCCTTACAGGGGCCTGTGTCCACAATACTAAAGCATCTTTACAACTCAATGATAAAAACACAAATAACTCAATTTTTCAAATGGGCAAAAAGAGGTGAGGAGACATTTCTCTAGACATCACACAAGCGGTGTCAAGTGTGTGACAAGAGGTTCTTGCTGCTGGCACTTGATGTGCAAGTTGGAACAATGAGGCACTTCCTGCCACCAGGGCAGCCTGGGCCCTGCTGGAGGTGGGTGCAGCCATGGGGGACAGGGCAGGAGGTCACCTCCCATGGATGGGCCAGCACGAGTGGGCCTCGGGCACAGCCACCACAGCCCTTCACATCCTTGTGCACATTACCCCTGGGTGGGTCTTTTCCTGTCTCCCTGCTCCATTTACTTTTGCTGGTTTCATGGAGTATTTAAAGTAGTCTTGAACTGAGGTCAGTACATAACATCCCTGTCACACTGCCTGGCATAGATCACGTGATCAATAAATCAAAACTAGAATTATTTATATGCAAGTAAAGAAGGTTGGAATTTCCTGAGAAAACAAAAACAAAACCAGGCAACATGGCAAGGTGAGTGGGGAGTCCCAGGCGCCTAGGGCAGCAGGCACAGTGCTGCAGTGGGGAGGCCAGGTGGCAGAAGGTCAGTGGTGGGAAGGTCAGTGGTGGGAAAGTCAGGTGGCGGCCCTCTTGAGACCTGAACACACAGATTCTTCATTCCCTGTGCAGCCTTCACCTCTTCCCAGTCCAGCCTGATGTCGGGAACCTCCTCTTCTGGCTGGGGATCCTTCCTCAAGGCCCCCCGGGGGGAGGCGACCAGGATGGGCAGGGGACCACATTCCTCCCGGAATTCCACCACATGGAGACCCTTCTTGTCGGCCAGCTGTTGGTGGGTTTCCTGGGCAAGACCAAAGTGAGAACAGCAGTTAGGTCTCCGAGGGTCCCTGTGGCTATAGGAGTGAGAGGCACCACCACAGGGGTGGGGTGGGGGTGGGGGTGTAGAACTCACCAGAGAGCTTGGGGGAAAGAGCAGTGCCAGCTGATTCTGGGTGGTTAAACCACAGTGGCTGTCACAGGGGGATGCCTCAGCCCACCTTCCCACCCCAAACTGGGGTACGCCAGGCCTCGCCTTCCAAACTCCCTAAGCATGTGCCTGCTGGGCCAAGCACCAAGCCTGAACCTGGTGGAGCCCTGAGATCTAACAACCAAATCATAGGAGGTCCAGAGGGGAAAGGACATCAAGGACCCCACGGCTGCTCAACCCTGGAAACACTATGGGACAAAACACCTGACTTCTTCAACACAACAGCAGCAAGGAGGGAAGAGAGAGGGACAGACCAAGAGAGCCTTAAAAGACACAGGAGAAACTTCAGGTGTGCTGACCTCTCTGCAACCTGATGCAGACAAATTGTGTAAAACAATTTTTAAAATCAGACAAATGGGTACATTTGTATGAACAAATTGGCTATTTGATAACACTGTGTCACCAGTAATTTTTAGGAATGATAATGGAGCCATGATTTTTCCCCCAATACTGGGGATGGAACCTGGGACTTAAGTCTTCACATCAAGCTCCCCACCATGGAGCCACATCCCTGCCCTGCAAAGAGGTTTCTGATTCTGGTCTTTTAGAGATACACTGAAAGTGATATGAATGAAATGAAAGGGTGCCTGAGTTTTGTTTCAAAAGAACGGGGTGAGGTGATGTGGAGAAACAAGACTAGGTCTGGCGGGGACGAGAGGCCCCTGGGGTCAATGTGTGGCAATTCTGTGCCACACAGAAGCCTGGAAATGGGCAAATACATCCAGTGGATGGTTTAGTCATAGTTCCTGGAAATACCTGATATGTGTAACCCCATGTAGACAGACTATGGCTGCTTTGTACTGTCCTAATTCTTTACGTGTGTAAAACTGGACAAAAGGTAAGCTATTTTGCCAGGCGTGATGGTGCACACCTATAATCCCAGCAGCTTGGGAGGCTGAGGCAGGAGGGTCCCAAGTTCGAGACCAACCTTAACAACTTAGAGAGGTTCTAAAGCTTGGTGAGACATGGTCTCAAAAAATAAAAAGGGCTGGAGATGTAGCTTAGTGATCAAGCACCTCTGGGTACAATTCCTGGTACCAAAACAAACAAACAAAAACACAAGATAAGCTGTTTCATAAATCAAATAAAATAATTTAAATTGGAGTCTTACAATCAATCAAAGGCATCTCACATAAATTAGTGGTGTAAGGTCAGGCACTGGTGACCAAGAGGAGGCAGACTAAAAGCTGCCGAATAAGGCTTTATTGAGATTTGCTCCTGGGTGAGACTCTGTAGTCCAACAGAGTGGGTCCAGGGAAGTCGCACCCAGGCTCAGATGGATTGTAAATTTATCAGGTTTAGGGCAGGAAGGGAGGGCTTGGGACAGGAAGGGAGGTTTTTTGGGTCGCTTGTCCTCCTGGGTTGGTCAGAGGATCTTGCTGAGCTCCATGACCTTCCAGGATCACTCAGGAGACCCTACTGATTGACGATGGTTATCACTGCTTGTCTGGTAGCCCCTGATTGGTTGTTGCCTGGTGCTTTGATCCCTTAGCCTCCTCAACATACCTAGCATCCTGATGATATAGGGCACCAAATTTCATCTGGCTACTTCCTGCTGGCTAAGGGCTCTGGGAGGAAGGGTGTCAGTTTGGTGGGGAGGCGACTGTGGGGGTGTAGGAGCATCTGGTTGTAGGTCACTCTGGTGATTTCACTTTCAGGCGAACCTGAGGAGGCAGGGAGCGACCATTAATAGAAGTCCTATTACTAATAGAGGAGTGAGACTGGGAGTCAGCCACGTAATGAGGGTTGAGTTTAGCCAGCTTGGCCGGGGTCCTTTAATTGTTGCTATTTAAGTTTCGCCCAATTAACGGAGGGTGTCAACGTTCTTTTCGACCAATCCAGTGCCATGGATGTAGCAGCAGCATTCTTCTTTCAGGAATAGACAGGTTCCTCCTTGGTATGCTGTCAGGAGATGGAGGGCTCCACAGTTCTGTAATGAAACTTGGGCAATGGATGTTATTTGCCTTTGTAGGGAAGTGAGAGAGGCAGCAGATGCTCCTTCCACTTCCCTAAATTGTTCAAGCTTCTGAGTAGCGGTTACTGCATAACCAAGTCCTCCTGCCCCGAGTCCAGAGGCAGCGAGGGAGGAGGCCATGGAGAGTCCAATCATTACTGGTAGAAAGTCGGCCCACCTTGCCCTGGAAAGGGAGGTGGTGACAAGCCAGGTTAATTCAGCCTCACTGTACAGAGTTAATTGAGGGACCAAGGTGAAAGGAACACAAAAAAAAGTAAAGGGCATGCGGAGGCTTAGATTTTTGTTAGGGCACCACTGCACCAGAAAAAGAACCCCATAGGAGCAAAGGTTGGGGAAGAGATTCGAAGGATCTGGCCACAGGTGTCAAACCTGAGGATGTGTAGCAGTAAGGGAAATTCCCTAGGGGTTACAAAAAAGAGGTACTTCCTCAAAGGATGGAGGGGGCAGCCCTTGGGGTCTGGTTGAGCTAGAGGAGTTGGTCATGAGCTGTAGGACTCCATCTTGGGCATCAGGGGCTGGTGGTCTTGAAGAAGTAGTTGATTGACGGGCTGGTTGGTGAATCTGTATATCTGGTCTTGCAGGAACTTCTGTAGGCAAGTTAACAGATGTGGTCTTATTAGGAGAAACTTGAAGAGGACTAACAGGGGTCCTGTGAGGGGGAGGAGCCAAGGTCACACTTGACTGATCCTTCCCATGGAGACTGCTGGCCTAGTTGCTGTCTCCTCTTTCCTAGCTGTTCTTGTCTGTTGGCACCTGATTGGTTGTTCCTGGTGCTTTGTTCCCGGAACCACCTCAACTGACCTAACAAGTGGCATTTTTGTCTTTTTGAGTGGTCCATTAAAAAACAACTTGTCCTAACTGATGGCCTTTTTTTTTTTAGAGAGAGTGAGA